TCTAAAGTGTCAATTATAAAATCGGATGTAGTTTTATCTATCAAGAGTGAAGTCACCGCTTCTTTAGCATCGCCACGAAGACACTAACGTAGCCGCCATACATTTTCTGTGTCACTGTATTTGCATAATTGGGTTGACTCTTGGTACGCTTGTTTAAACTGCAACCACTCCATTGGATCTCCAAAAAATAAGGGCAGGTCTTTAGACGCTGCTGATCTTGTTAAGAGCTCCTGGTTCTGTTTTTTATAGGATGAGGCAGCCACTGCCCCATTTAAGGCGTATGCCAGATTTTCTAAGCCGATTTTTTCCCGAGAGCAATCTTCCCGGTTCTCCTCATGCTGGTTTCCTGGTGCATTCAGCCAATTTTCAACTTTGCTGGTTGAAGATTCTACAGCCGTCTTGTGGGAGGAACGTGATCGAGATTCCAATTCTGCCACTTCAGCTGCAAGCTGTTTGTTTAGCAGCTTCGATTGAATATTTGCCTTGATCTTACAAAGCTCAGCGTCTGCCTGAGCACTTTTAACCTTGGCTTCTGCTTCAGCTTCCGCTGATTGTATTTCCACGAGAGCCATAGCTTTAGCGGTTTCGTATTCCAACTGCCGTTTGCGTGCCATACTTGACGATGTGCCTGCGGTCTTTAACGACTTTTTACTCTTACTAAAAGTACTTTGCTCATTTCCAGGTTTTTCCAGCACTTCGTCTTTTAAACAACAAGATGGTAACACATCTTGGTTGTTCTTGCACTCCGATATTGCAGCGGTGCCACGTGGTCGCCGCCTTTTATGCGGCGTGGCCGGCGTGTTGAACATAACTGGTACTTATTATTATTATTATACTGTTTCCAGACGACGTAAGGATCCGTCTCGAAGGACCACTTTGTTGGTGATTTAGGCCACTGGTGTCGTCTGGGAGTAAAATAAACTAAAAAATTTTGGTGAGCGCGTGTACATCCGCGGGGAGGGAGACATAGATGTCACCCCGTATGATGTTCTAGTGCAACTGACTAAGCGCGGGATCATGAACTCCGCGGTGCAACACCGATGTTGCAAAATATACCTACATCCTACAATAAAAATCGCGGTAAGTGCCACCGTCCCCGTATGCACACGTAGGGTCGATGCGCCGGTAAGCCGGCCGGGTCTAGATTTCGGCCTTTGGCACGAGCTGATGCAGTAAATTTGATTTAATAACAATTTTAATAAATATTATCGTAAGAAATACAGTTTAATGCATTTGTAAATAGTTTCACTATATCTGGTAGCATTAATTAATCAGGTAAACACAACACGCGATTTATAATAAATAGTTTAGTTTGACGCAGACACTGAAGCTATCAAAACGGGTAAGATCGAGCAAAAAAAAATAGTGGTGAGCGTTCCATTCAAAAGTAAGTTTCGTGCTGTATTTAATATAATTACTTAATATTGTGCTTATATTTCACTGTATAAATAACCTAATATAGTTATTTGACACTGATTATTATAATAATTTATTGATAAAGATAATAAATTAAGTGGCCGAAAAGTGACACATAAAATTGTCCCATTATTTGATTGTCGGCCATGCGGCCGAAATGTAGCCTGAGTTTAGCCTAAATACTTTGTCTCTTTCGTTTATTTGGTTACGTACTATAACTCATATTTCTTACTTATATTGAATCGTAGCGATTTCAGTTTTCGACCACCAAGTACTGCAATTTGAACAGTTAGTGATGAAACAAAATACCCATTTCAGTCGTGGCCGAAAACTGGATTGACTCTAAAATATATACAATTTAGTTTTCGGCCAACTTAAAATTGTATGAAAGAATACGGCGGCGGAAAATGCAATTCTGTCTTAGTTTACGTTTACGGCCATTTCATCTTATCATATCAAATATTTTATTCATATTGCGTTTTAGGAAGAAGATTCAATAAGAAATTTTTTTTCTTCAGATGGCTCCTCTTGTTTAGAGATGAGAATGGTTAGATATGGTAACAGATTTTGTTAAACTAAAATACTTATGAGGAAGTACAAAATACTCGTAAATGAGAATATTTGATTGCTATATTTAAAAGATTTTATTATTAGATTATGATTCAAAGAGAAATAATTAATCATGGTTATTATTTTATATCAAAAACACACCCAAAAAGAAAAAAATAACGTCACGGTTAAAAAATCGCAATCACCGATTGAGAAAACTAAATACATCGATTTCCCAAACCGTTTTGCCATTTTCTGATTTTCCAAAAACACTTTTAAGTTTGTACTCTCTCTTCTAATCCAGTGGCCGAAAACTAAAATTCTTGTAGGCCGAAATCTAAAATTTGGGGCCGATAACTAGCGTTTTGCATATTTTTCACATCAAAATTTATTATAAAAAATAGATTTCTTTTGTAGCATCAATGAGTTATCAAAATGAAAACTACATTATATAAGCTATAAATTAACATTAACAACACTAGGTCAACATAATCGCTATTATTTTTTATAGTACCTTAAAGTTGACAACTCCACTAAAAGGCCCAAAACCAGCGCAACGACCCTACTTATTTATTATTGAAAAACAACAGGTACAAAAGGTAAGTAACAATTTCTTATGTGTATATATTTTACATATACTATGTTTTATTAACTAATATTATTTATATTTCAGATATCCGAGAAGCAACGTGAGCGTCGTTAACAAGCTGCTATTTTACGCTGGTATTCCGACCGTCCGCTAATATATATATATATATATACAATAAGTTACAATTAACAATATTGAAGTAGTTACACTATTGGATATATTATATATTTTCGATCAGCAGCGGAAGGAACATTTTACCAACTCAATAAAAATAACCGGTAAATTGGAATTTGCAATGTAAAGTTCAACAATAAATTATCGTGATCTTAATTATGAAGAACAGTTATTGCTTACTTTATACATGAACTCTACGTATCCTTAAACACTTAGTTTTTTCGTTCATTACAGCTCATCAAAAGTTGAACATAGACCTCACGTTAGATTCATCTATAGGATATTTACCATAGTTACCACGCTTGAGAACCAAGCTGCCAACCGCAGTTATTCTATTAGTAGGTACGAGTATAATTGAGTTGTTAGGAAGATGCTACTGACCATGTCCTATTTCAGGTTCCCCCCGGTCATTACGACGTCCATGGGATGATATAGTGTAGTGGATTAACTTACGGAACGTATAGAACTTTCTACTCTTTAAACGATTTGTACTCGATTATAGAATCCTTAAACTTAGATCATAAAAATTTAGACACATAAGTATTGACAAACATATAAATGCACATAAGTATAATGATGTAGAGTTTGGAAGATGTTAAAAGCAAGAGAATTAAGTACCACCAAGTATTAAATATTCACCATTATAATATTTACTTCCGCGTATTTATGATAATGATATAAATATAACTGGTAATATATCATCTATTTTACTACGTTTCCTTTAATTCTTAAACTCTACCTACATACATAAGAAAATTCAATTACAATCATGATTTACTTCTGGACGATTTTCGTCCAAATTGGCAATATAATCAACAAATATGTTGAATGCACTAAAGTTATTTTAGAGCCACAAGTGTAAATACTAAGGCTAAGGCCTCAGTGGAAAGCGTTTAGCGGGAACTGCAATACAACAGCGTATGTTTCTCATGATGCCTTGCCACATGCCCCTCCCAACGCTTTAGGCCAGCAACAAACATAAGGAATTTTGTTTTGGGATTCCGTTTCGGAATTTCGATCTAGGATTCCAAACACAGCAAGTCCATATAAAGTCCCGAATGACCTGTCACACACTTACGGTAGTTTTCCGATCGAAATTTTGCGGACACAATGGTATTCCGTATATGTATGGCCGACCCATTCATTCCGTTGCGGAATTCCGTATGTAGTACATACGTAGTGGGCCTTACTTTGTAGCCTAAGGCTAACACGGCATTATTCCTGACCTATCCGATCCTGGAGTAGCCTGTTGTAGTAGAACTGTGTAAATAAGTCAGTATCAATTATAAATTTATAAAACATAAATAATTCGCAGAGTGATTCTCACCGGCAAGCGTTTCCCATTTCCCATCAGACTATGCAATCGAACTGCAAATCCGAAAATAAACAATTTATATTTTTTACAAATGTGATTCCTATCAATTATTAGGAATTTTAGAAACGTAGAGTTTTTGGAATACGTAAAGTGTAAGGATTTAAAAAAATTATGTATTTAATTTTATATAATATATTTGTATGTATTCGTACTAGGTATATGATTTTATACTTTGTAGAGCCACCCTGCAACTATATTATGGTTGTAACACGAATGGGTAGGCTTGACCGGGGAACAGCAATACCAGAATAAATTAGCAGCTTAATACTGCTGAGTTTCATATGGTGAGTGTAGAGATCCGGAGACCCTATTTTACTGGAAACGAGGCATTCCATCTTAGTCCTCAGGGGTAACAATGAATATGCGTTTTGATTCTTAATCGAGAATAAGAAATGTAGGTCTATGAGCCACAGCATCCACTTACCATTAGGTGGACTGTGTGCTCGTTTGTTACCCTTATTCTATAAAAAAAATTACTTTTAAACATATTTAATTTTTTTACCTTTAACACTTTTAATTTAGGTATATATTCATCAATACATGTATTATTTGTGGCTTGAACGGATAATAAAAGATAATTAAAGAACGATTTAGATAATAATAATAATACTTACCTACTATCAGTTATCAAAATTACCCACACACATATATATATATATATATATATATATATATATATATATATATATATATATATATATATATTCGAACTATAACCAACGCTATTATTATACGTACTATATTCGTGCGTACCTAATACCTATAATATATGTTGACTATATTCAAAACTCTATCACTATAATTAGCAACATAAAGCTGTCCCTTTTCTTTGTAAACACGAAAATATTTTAACCTCAATATTATTGACGAAACATGTTAATATGAAGAAAGGCTTACCCGTTAAATCCATATTAATAATTTGGAACGGTTGTACGTTTTCCAAACAATACTGCGATTTTATCGAAATGTCACAACATTCAATAAATTATATAAAACGGTCGACACAGAACCACTCCTGCCGGCGCGCGAATAAGCACTATTCCACAGAGCAGAGCACACATTTCGTAATTCGTATTCGTATTCATTGTACCTATAGGTACATAGCGCTATTCTATAACTTTCACGTTAGCCCAGGTTAGCCTACTTCGTTAGCAGGTAAAAAAATTAACAAAGAATACAGATTATAGATAAAGAAATTCAAGGTACAGATTATCAATATTATTTTTATATATTAAAATCAAATTAAAATAGATAAATTCATTTTATTAGTGTAACACGGTGACGTTGGGAAAGGGTTGTCTTAACAGACAGTAAGTTACAATATTCTTAAAGCGCTAGAGTTTTATTATTTTTATATATGTAACTTATAACTCTTTTGGATCATAATTATTAGATAATCTTTTGGAGTAAAAATATAGGGTTATTTATAAGATAGGGTGACAAACGAGCACACAGTCCACCTGATGGTAAGTGGTTGCTGTGGCCCATAGACATCTACATCTTCATCGTTGAAGTATTACTACTACGTAAGTAATATAGTTCGATGACCTATCCTCGATTACGAATCAAAATGCAGATGCGTTGTCACACGTGAGGACTAAAATGGAATGCCTTGTTTCCAGTAAAAAGGGTCTCGGGTTCTCTACACTCACCATACGAAACACAGCAGCATTAAGCTATTATTTTACGCTGGTATTCTGTGAGAGCGTGTTCCTACCCCGGTCGAGCCGACCCATTCGTGCTACAACTATACTACTAATATAACTTGTAGAGCATTGCTCTACCACTTATAAAATTATTCCTTTTTATTATATTTTAATTTAGTCCTTTTTATTATGGCATTCCATATTTAAATGACTATAATTCTCTAATGTTTTGTACATTGGTCAGAGTTTCAGATTTTATTTTAGTTTAAATTTTATTTAAAATATGATTGTACATAAAATAGAAAAAATAAATACTAATAATCTATTTGGATCACGTATTGTCAATACAAGTCTCCTTGAATATTTATAATTTGTATAAAATTAATTGAATACTTTCATTTCTGGACGTTTGTGATTGTTCCGCTGTTGCTGAAATGACGCAGCGGACTAGTGCTAGTAGTAGCTATATTTATTCATTTATTTAATTGCATATAATTTTGGTCGTGGAAGGAAAAGGCGAGATCTCTTGCCGGGTAACGTGTTCAGCCCGGTGATCGGCCAGCTGTTTATAGCGTGTGTTTCGCTTGTGACGCGACCACTGGCCGTCACATAATAAATAAATTAAGAGTATTTAATCGCTACGTTTTACTACTGAGAACGGCATACCTCTAATCTGCACATAAATAAACGTTACACAAAACATGGAAAATAATATGGAAGCGCGTACACTGTACCTAATATAAACAACACTGAACCCATCTCTGAACATGAAATCTTTTTTTTTTTGGAAAATAAGTTTCGTTCACAAAACGACTTAAAACATCGTAATTTATAATGCCACACTTTTGAAATACGTGAATTGGATGAAAACGGGACAAAACTAGCGGTCGTTTACATCTTTTGTTGTGTTAAGGGCACATTATTATCATTATCATCCGTCTATTTGTAGTGCAGTAATTAGCATAGCGCCAACCAGTGTCAATTAATGAACGCAGCGCATCGATTAAGGAAGTGATCTATGTCTTATTGAATCGTTTTATTTCCCGAATATACAGGGCTATTTTACAATATACGTCCAAATTTGCAGAGAAGGTTAAAAAGAAAAATTAATTTTAAAAAATCTCAAATATTCTTTACTTTTTATGTCTTCAAATCAGAATAGCATTACCGTAACTGATTGTCATTTGTAAATATTTAACTTCTACTATTTTACTACGCACGCGCACATTCGTAAGGGTCGTTCAGTTGGCAAAAACGTTGTGAATTGAATTCCACACAGAGGAGCGCGTTCGCGTAGTTATTGCCCATAAATCACAATTTAAATTAGATTAAAGCCTTATTTACTCATATTTTCAAAACTGCAATAACAGTATATCGTTATTTATATACTTCAAGTTAAATATAAAACTTGGGTATTCTTTGCTAAATAAACCTGTATAGTTGATGGACAGCTCTCACTGTATTGAGTGACAACCTGGTAAAACATGCAGGAAGTGGATAGATGCATCAGAGCAGAGGGCTCAGGAGCGTATTTTGTGGCAATACAAAAAAACCACAAAGAACAACTTTTTTTTTTTTTTTAATAAGGGGGAGGGATGTCTATGGGCCACAGCATCCACTTACTATCAGGTGGACTGTGTGCTCGTTTGTCACCCTTATTCTATAAATCAAACATAAAACAATTAGTTAAAATAATGCTAAACGTTGAAACTCGTTTATCATTAAGTCATTATATATATAATTAGAAAAAAATTGCATTTAGTGACTTATTGAGAAATAAGTCTTTGCTTAATTATAATTAATGTATTTCGTGTAAACAGGTTAGTTCTGTGTTATAAATACGTCGAAAGCTACCTATGTGTCGCATAATTTCGACATATTTATTAATATAGTCGATTACGTACTGACTACTTCTACCTACCTTACATAGCATTAAGTTACTACTAAGAAAAGGTGAAAAATATCTTTAGTTGAAGTTTGTATCCATAACTTTTACAACAAAAAACAACGAGCTTTGAATAAAAGCCGGTTTTATTCAAAATATATTGCCACCGTGTTGTGGCGGTGGTAAAATATTCACTACCCTATAATATCATCAGTGGGTGTTGTAAGAGGCGAAGAGGCAAACAAAGCAGAAGACGGGCAGCAGCGTCTTCCTAATAACGACTAAAAATACAAACTGCGGTTGCCAACCCGCCTGCCAAGCGTGCCAACTATGGCAAATTATGACTCTATGAGGCAATCTATGGGGAGACCTATGATCAACAGTGGACTTAAATAGGCTGTAATGGTAATGTATGGTATGTTAAAACGATCGTGTACATTGTTTACCTGATGGAAACCAGATTATTTGGCACATACATCCTATATCCTCGATTAGAACCAAATGCAGTTGCGTTCTCATCCCTGAGTGTTATGAACTTCTCTTGGTCCTTTCTCAGTTGAGCCCAACCAATCGTGCTGCCTCTATAACACAATGGGTGCGTTTGGCAGAAAAAAGCGCTAGCAAGCGCTTGTAAGCAAAATGGCGATCGTAAGCGGTAAGCGCTGTCAAATCGTAAGTAGCTATTTTCCTCCAGGACACAATGTTAGTTTTAACCGGGGAACCTAACCTAATTTAAATATATGTTTGTAAAGTATTCATATTAAAAACTTACCAATCATGAATTTTTAATAACATGTATATGTTTATTCATGTCATTATATTATTTAAAACTAATATTGCACAAAACAACTTATAAACTCTACTTCAAAACAAAAAAATTAAATAAGCAAAATGGCGGATTGTGTCAGCGCTACCGAAGTAGCAATCGTGTCCAGCTTCCGGAAATGGGTAGATAAAGGACCTTATCATTTTCAAACAACATTGACTATCGCGGGCCTTGAGCGCGGGGACCGAATCCAGAAATTCCGTAACGAAAAAAAAAACCTCACGCTCCCCACTCCGACGGGCACGGAGGTGTGGCGTTGAAAGCCGTGCATCGTCTAACATCGTTTCAGTTCGGCAGACTTCGGCACTCGGCAGACTTCGGCACGGTGTTTGTGTGCGTGCGACTAGACGTATGCGTGTACACTAGCTGCTAACTCAATGATAAAAATTCCTGAATAACCTACATGTATTGTAAGATATTAAAAATATTTTAAACAATATTAACTTCTCATTTATTCAATAAGAGAAAAAAAAATTGTTTTCTTATCGGTCACCACGCTCAAAAAGTGTAACTTGATTTAATATCGAAGACTTAACACTGCATAAATAAAATAAATAAATAATTATAATTGCATAAGTTGATAAAAAATGCTATGCAATAGCTTTACCGCGGCAGTCACCGAGTGCCACACGTATTTTATTTTTAATTCCATCCACCATGATATACCGTAGGCAAGAACAGAAATGTGGTGATGTTGTTCTTCGAGAAAGTTGACAACGGTCTATTTAAAAACTACAGACCGATTTCTCTTCTGAACCGTGTCTACGTGTTGTTTTCAAATCGTCTCTTCAACGACTTCCAACCCTAATAGATTTCTATATTTTAGTACTACAGACCATATAGTGTCACTAAAATGTCGAATTCAGCAAATTTTACAGAAGGTCGAAGAGTACAACCTGTCTTGCATGTGTGAACTAAGAGAAAACCTTTGTTTCCGTCGAAAATTTTAATCAATCAATCAATCAATTCTTTATTTATGAATACAGATGTTATCAAAGGTGTTTCATAATATAATAGATAAAGTTGTTCTGTATTTTGCCATATAGGACACACAAAATAATAAACACTATAAAAATTACACACACAATGTCATATCATTAATTCTTTTATTACATTTCATTATGTAACGCTCCCCCCTCTCTATATATAAAAAATATTATATTAAATATAATTAATATAGCCCTTTTCAATAAAATATATATATATATATATATATATATATATATATATATATATATATATATATATATATATATATATAGAACGGTAAATGTTGATCAGACGCGACTTCACGCGAGCACTTTGTTGATCCGAAAACGCATGTTGATCCGGCGCCTTTTGTTGATCCAATATGCATCTCTGGTAACTAATGTGGCTCCGACCGGATCAACATCTGCACTCAAGAGACTGTTTGCTAGCGTCGGCCGAAGTTGATCCGATATACAAATCCACCTTGCGATGGTTACGGAAAATGTTGATCCGATTTAAATGAGCCAATCAGAGCACAGCAAACGATAAGATAAACGATCAGATTGGCTGTATGCAGCCGCGAC